GTGTGTGTGTGTGAAAACTCCCGATACAACCTAAGCTCATATTATGGAATGTTGAGGACTCAAACCAGCAACATGTGCGACAAAGGTTAGCGTGCTACGACTGAGCTCCGTGTTTCTTCCATACAGGACCCTGAGGGAAAAGGCCCAGGCCAGCAGTTTGACGTGTTCGGAGATGGACGCAAGTACTACCTGGCGTTTAGAGCAACTGCCGGAGTCGGAAGGTCTGCCTACGATGATTACGTCAATATAACCGACAATGTCAGGCCCGAGCCAGGCTGTAGACAGGTGAGACGTTAAATATTTAACAATAACAGTATGTGTATGTTGGAATGGATGTAGGGGAGGGGTGGAAATTTGTGTGGCATTTGTTTACCACAATCCAACTGGCGGTTGTAGTGTATTGGTTAGTTTTCAAGTCTTTGTACCCCCCCCCCCCCTCCAAAAAAAAATTTTAAAAAAAAAGAAAAAAAATATATGGGGTAGGATCATTCAAGTTTGAGAAATTTTTGTTTTGTTAAGTACCTTTTTCGTTCCACATGGATCCAACTCAGCCGGATTGTTTTTGACAGGCATTCTGGAAGTAACCAGGCTCCTTATTGGCCTAAATAATTGATTTTAAAAAGAGGGGTCAGGCGGAGAGTTATCACACGGTTTACCAATGTTCTAAGCTAAGCTCTTCTGGGCGCAAAAGGGTTATTTTGAAGACAATACATGTGCTTTACGCCAGAGTCGGGACTCTGATATTTATTTTTATAAGACATTCAGTCAACGGAACGATACGGGGAGATCGAGTTGTTAGGGAGACAAAGTAAAACAACGTCGTGTCCACATACTCTTTGTCCACTGCCCCATGCTGTTCAGGACAGATATTAAATTTCATCTGGAGGATCCGGTCCAGAAATATGACCTGGTGATTGGGTGTGCACATACGATTGTTCGACTTTAACAAAACCCAACAAAGAACAAAACAAAAACAAAACAAAACAAAGCAAAAATACACCCACAAAATAAAACCAAACATGTTAGTTTTTGAAAGTTCTAATCGAATTTGGTTTGATATGATTCATCATCATTGCCTTTCTCACCCTGGATCAGGATATAGGCCATGAACAGACACTTTCCACCTTTCCCTATCCTGGGCTAGTCGCTTGATGTCACTCTATGTCTTCCCACTTTTCTGTACTTTTCTTTCTCCAGGTTCCAGGTGCTCTTCCCTTGGTTCTTTTACCCCGTGGGTTCCAATCGAACACTTTTCTCATTATGCATCTGCTTGACTTCCTGAAAGTGTGTCCAATCCATCGCCAACGCCTTCTTCCCTCCTCATCTCTGACTGGGCTCTGTCTCGTTCTTCTTAATACGTCCTCGTTGGTGATCCTATCTGTCCATCTGATCCTCAGTAGCTTCCTCAGACATTTGTTTAAGAAAACCTGGATCCTCTTTATGCACGTCTAAGATGCGTTACTCATCTCACATCGATACAACAAGACTGACTTCCCATTTGAGTTTACAATTCTCTGCTTTGTCCGTAGCGAGATGTCCATGGTCCTCCAAAACCTGTTCAAAGAAATAAATGCAGTCTGAATTTTTCCAATGCGGGACTTTATTTTAGCGCCTGTTTCCCCCTCTCTGTCAATTATACTCCCAAGAAAGCAGAAGGATTCGACGTGTTCTAGTACATTTCCCTCTTCTGTAACCTGCTCCTTTCGTAGTGCATCTAACCTAAGAACTTTTGACTTTCCAGGATGGATCCTCAATCCAACAGACTCTGATAGCTCTACTCCAGGAACTGCTCCAGTATGATCCCCAGCGTAGCAATCTGGTCCGTGGTTGACCGGTCTTTCCGAAAACCAGCCTGTTCATCCCAAAGTCCGTTGCAGGCTTGATTCTCTCCAGAATTATTCTGTGGAAGACCTTTCCTGGTATTGAAAGAAGAGTTATTCCTCGGTAGTTGCTGCAGTAGCTGAGATCCCCCTTTTTAGTTTTAGGAAGTTTCACAAAGTGTCCTTCTTTCCAATCCTTTGGGAAATTGCTCGCATTCCAGATCCTGGTAAACAATGGGAGAAAGAGATCTGCCGTCACATTGGCATCTGTTTTTAGCACCTGTTGTGGAATCTGAACAGGACCGGCCGCTTTACCGTTGTTCAGCTTCTTAATGCCTTCCACAATCTCTTGTTTCGATGGACCATCACAGCAAATTGGTAACTCATTTCTTGCTGGCAGAATTTTTGATAGATTACTTGGTGGTGGTCTGTTCAGGGGACTGTTGAAATGCTCTACCCATCGTCTGGACTGAGTTTCCTTTCCAAAAATGGATTGTCCCTCTTCGTCCTTTACTGTTACTTCTGGTTTCCCATATTTTCCAGAAAGAGTCTTGATTAAGGATTCGTATGTTCCCTCCTGCTGTTGTCTCTTCTGCCCTCTCTGCCAGCCTGTTCATGAATTCCTCCTTGTCTTTTCTTCGTGATCTCTTTACATCTTTACTGTTGTCTTGTACTGCTCCAATGCATCCGCTTTTGATCCTCTTGTTCTACTTGCATTTGTCTCTGTTTTCATTTGTCTTCTCATTCTAATCAAATCCATTGACCGTTTGCTTATTCATTCCTTAAGCCACAATTTCTTCTCACAGAGTATTTCTTAGCATGTTGAAGTAAAGACTTCTTTGAGCTTGGTCCAGCGCATCTCCACCTCCATGTCCTCCTCCTCACCAAGATCCGCCAAGTGTTGAAATCTGCTTCTCAAATGCAGTTGAAACGCCTCTTTCTTGTGTCCATTTAAAAGATGTACTTGGAACTTCATTTTTTTGGTTCTTGTTCTGGTTCCGTGCCTTTTTAGATTAAGCTTGAGTTTTGCTAACAGTAACAGCAGATCTGATGATGATCCTATCCAACGTCTGCCCCTCTCTGTACTGTGACATTTTCCAGTGAATGACTGAACCTACGAGAGATACAAAAATGATCGATCTGGTGATACCTAAGTGGCCTTGAGGGTCCTCTTGTGGGGAGAAACCGAACGTCCGATGACAAGACTGTTGAAAGCACAGATGTTTGCAAATCGCTCCCCGTTCTCATTCATTTGTCCCAAACCATATTGTCCCTTGATTCCCTCATAACCTACATTGTCCTGACCAATCTTGGCATTGGTATCTCCCTTTATGATCTTGACATCCTTCCTTGTAAGTTTGTCGATACCCGAGCCAGCTGTAGAATGCATCCTTGTCTTCATCCGAAGCTTCATTTTTTGGGGCGTAGATCTGTACTATGGTCATGTTGATTCTCTTACTCCTGGTTATGAAAGAAGCCATGATAATCCTCTCCCCTTGTGTTTTCCATCCTCTAAGTGACTTGTGTGCATACTTACTCAAAATAATTCCAACTCTTCCGCATGGTGCTTGCCTTCCGTCCCAGAATACAATATTTGTTCCCCCGAGCTGTGCTGCTTCTGTCCAGACTCTATCTAGTGGGTTTCGCTGACTCCTTGTTTGTGCAGCCTGTATCTCTTCATCTCTAGTGCCACTTGAGGCCTCTTTCCTGCTTCATAATTATTATATGAAGAGAACATTCCACGACGTAATCCGGAGAGACTAATTCGACAGAGCAGGTTTCGGGTCAGAAGAGTCCTTTCGGCTGTCTTTCATTGTTCCTGCTGATACAGAAGCTCCATCATTTCCCGAAATGGAAAAATTACAAGGCGTGTTTGTTCGTGTTTCTATAACTTTCCGTTTTACTGTGTCAGGTAGTTGGCCCTCCGCAAACTGGAACTTTTCGGGTGTCCAGACCTATATGCACCTTCAGTCGCCTCTTACGACACTTAGTATCACGCAAGTGCATTCTATACACCCCCATCGTAAAACTATGGGACCCCTACCTGCAGGGGCGTTTGATATGACTGAATTCAATCAAATTATGCGACGATGGTAGCTTGTGCCCCTCCTTGAAAAAAAAATCTGGCTGTCCTTGACTAAATTCAACTGAATTTGATTTTGAGTGTACACTTTGTATAAGAATTTAAAAAGGCAATAGGCTACCGAAAAACGTTATTAGGGATTTTAAGAGTCAAGGTCAATGACTGGAGAACTAAATCGATATATTTTGTTATCAAAACTTTTATTTGTCATGTATAGTATTTCTTTAGAAAACACCAGTTTATTCACCTTGAAAAGGCGTGTGTCCACACAGTTGGGAAACGCAGAGAAAACATTAAATGACTGAGAGAATATGAAGTTTTTATGTGGTCTGCTGCCTATACGTTGGAAGAGAGCTATACATGTACTTCTTTTCTTTTTCTTGAACGCCATCCGTCCCATCTCCCCATTCAGCGATTATGAAACATAGACCCACAGAGGGGCTCTCGTGGCCTAGAGGTTAAGGTGTTGGCCTCTCATTCAAAAGGTCCCGGGTTCGAATCCGGGTAGCGACCGAAAAATTTTCTTCTCTCAATTTGTCTCCTTTCACCTCATTTCCTGCTCTCTAGCAATGTTCTGTCGTCTGCTTTCGTCTCCTCTTTCTGCCCCCACC